GTTAAGTCATGAATGAAATGGCTCTAGTTAAACTATCAGGAGAAAAGCTTAATCAAACAAGTACTCTTTCCAAACAATGCCTACAGTGCCAAACTCTATTGTGCAGGCCCAAATATAAATCAAGTTCAAAAACTGACTAAAAAAAATTACTGGAAAAAGCATCAAGTATTATTATTAAATGCAGTAATGAAGGAGCCTCAAGAAATGCTTTTGAGATTGTCAAGCATAAGGAGAAAATAAACGCAAGAGAAACCACTACACCACCTGTCCGGTCTTCATATCCTTTCCCTGAGCAATTCTGCTGGTTATCATGAACAAAGATACTGAACTGGAGGCACTTTTGACATGAATCACGTATAGCCATTTTTGTATGTTCTGACACACTTGTCTCATTCACAATTTTAATTTACAAGAATTTAATTACTGTAAAATGTTTGGATGAAGACTATTACCTGTCTGTACAATGTATTAAAATCTTCCAGTCATGCCACACACCATAGTACACACTAAAGCATTTACCAGCTTTCCTACAGTGCTAAAATTATTCACATTAAAATGTAATGAACTAGTCAGAATTCAAATGCCTAAAGGTTAACCACAATGAATTGATAGCGTTAAATATTACCTTAACCATAGAACAGTGTCACACAACACTGTTAGCACTGTCCCAGCTTAGATTATGGGTAACTCGAGTATGTATATTTTAGGTGCTAAATTTTCACTAACATTGCTTGCATATTATGTTGAGTTAGATTTATTATCAGACTAAGTGAAGTGTTCTAAAATAATGCAGTTTCTAGAAAAATAAGCTGCCAGAGGAACTCCACTTCTGAAAATTAACTAAATAGAGTAATGCTCAAAATAATATTCTGGTTTTTATCCAAATCAAGGATAAAAAACGTAGCTTAATTGAAATTTTCTACATGCAGCTACTCACCGTGTCTTTTAAAAATAAGTTATTTGTGTTCCATTACTTCTTACAGAGTTAGGGAAAAAACAAAATTAAAAAATCAGTCAGCATATGATCCACCACATTTCAAAGGATTTTACCCTGCCAATGAGAACACAGATTCTGCTTTGTTTACTGAAGCCAATGAAAACTCTACTAGAATTTCAATGCAAATGATAATAGCATGTGGTTTTTATTTTTATTTTTAAATACTGATGTTCATCACAATATTACGGTACATACTCTTAAATAATTAGCCCAATGCAAACAGCAGTAAAGGAAATGTCCAAAAATTAACTAAATACAGCATGATCCTTTAAAGCTGACTGCTGTGAAACGTATGTGGCATTCTCTCTTTAGTATGAAATAGCAATTCAGAAAATAGACATTCAAACCCTACTTGGTAACTCAGTACCTTTTTTGTAAGCAAGCTTGCCTAGCTGTCTAAAAAGTGAAACCTTCTATTGTTTTGAGTATCTTTTTCACATCCTTCTTTTCATGTTCATATTGTTTCCTTACAGAAAGGCTCAACATGATTCTCAAGAAAAGGTCCCAAAATTACAGAAGAGTTCCAAGAAATGCTATTATAATTCAAATGCTATGACACTCTTGCTCTCCAGTTTTAGATCTACCTCTAAGAAAACTAAATTTAACCTGGTATTTAAAGTAGGTACCTCTGATTATTAAATTGTAAAATGTAGGCACCACTATTTATAATGAGAATAATTTTCCCATCAGATTTTTCTGTAGAATCCTCACCCACCGCAGCCTATCAGACCCTAAATCGGGGCACTCCATGAATTGTATTCATTTATCAGTTACTCTAGTTACAAAACCCAAACAAAACAAAAAGCAAGCAAACAACCTAAAGACAAAAAGCCATACATCTTTAGGGTAACACTGAGACATAACAATAACCAGTCATAGCTCCTAGACTGCTTGAAATAATAAGATTCCAGGTGACAATTAGTCTAAGACACTACGTATTTTAAATGTGTATTAAGCAAAGAAGCACTGTACAGTATAGCAAAACATAAAATTTGTTTCTTATTCCGCTACTTAGTGCATTTAACAAAAGCTGTTCAGCAACAACACTTCCAGTAGCAATATCAATAAAACAAAGTAAGACAATTTCCTACTCTACTTCACCCTTTCTGAGATTCGTTTATTGGCAGCAGAAAAATAAATACCTCTCTCCTTTGTTTTAGGCAACAGATGTTCTCCAATTTTAGAAGCTGATACCGAGTTAAGGAAAAACGGGAGACATCCTGACCCAAAGCCAGTCCACAGAAGCTCTGGATAGCATCACAAAATCAGAATCAATATGCCTTGGTAAGGATTGGGGTTTTTTTTATAGCAACTACACCACTCTGCTTTTGCATTGGAATCACACTAGTTTTGCTAGAAGAGAACAGTACTCACAAATTTCTGTGATAAAAGGGACAGAATTCTTAGAACAGGATTCGTATTATAATTTCCAGGTCAGTTATCTTCCACCTAATAACAAACAGGAGATGCTTCAGAAATCTTCTGGTTAGGGCCAAGGGAGCAATAAATAAGGCAAACCACACAACCCACCCACAATCTGGCTTCTACTCTACTTTGTACTATAAAGACCAGTCTTAGTTTTAAGAGTAGAAGAAAAGTTACTTTTTGCACTTTAACAGTGGCACTAACCTAGTGCCACTCTTAAGGGTAAATATGATTCCATTTTATTGAAGTAAATGTTAGGTACAGTCTACTCTTGATTATTATGATCAGTATCTGAAAAAGTTGAACACCTAAAGTTTACGCATTAGAAGATTATGCCACTGCAGGGGAAGCTTACATTTCAGTTTATCAGTTTAGGTTTGTATGTCCATTTTCACTCTAAAGTCTAATTCTTACGCTTTTGCCATTAAAAAGCCCCACATAAACAAAAATCCTCACTAACCTATCCCAATGAGCGGCTGGGTTTACTTTGGCTAGATATTTAACATACACATATCCTTTCTCCCTGAAATGTTCTAAAATCAGCGTATGTTCTAAACACTTGATACCAGTGGCAAACAACCATTTAAAACTCATTTCCAAAACTCAGCAGAAGCATGCTATTACTGTAAAACCAGAAGGGCTGCCAGAGAGGTTTCCTTCTAGAAAGGTCTTGGGCAAGTGGTGAACAGAGCAGGCTGCTTTCAGTACAGATAGTAAGAGTCCACGCAAATATTCATGAAAAAGCTTCAGCTTTTGTCTGAAAGCGAGTGAAAGCCTCTTCCTCTTCAACAATGTACCTCAAACCTCAACAAACCAGGTAAGTGCTAGCTCAGAACAGCAACAGTGCACTACTACCACCCTCACTCAACAGTAACTTCCCACTCAACAACAAGGCCAGAAATAATAGTCCTACCGAATTTAACGGAGAAAAAAGCCGCAACACCCCGATGCCCTTCGTCTACACATTCCCTCCTGAAGCACCTCACAGAGACTAGTCCGCGAGGGTAGGAGGGGGCCACGCAGGTGCTTGCCCGTTAGGCCCCGCAGCTGTGAGCGGGTGTGGCTTTCCCCGCCCCTTCCCACTCGGGGCTACTTAAGGGGCAGAGTAGAACGTAGGAGACGCTGCTTTCCTTTATCTTAGGGGGAAAAGGGGAAAAACACACAAAAAAAAAAAAAAAAAAAAAAAAAAAAGGGGTGGCAAAAAGAGGGAGCTGTTCAGTGTTTATTTTCTCAGGAAAACTGGTGGTGTTTTGGTTTGAAGGCTTCGTTTTTTTTAAGTGTGTGGGCTCTACCTAAGCGTCCGTGGATGATGGTGAGTGGAGGAAGGACGAAAGAGGAGCCGTGGTCGATATGGTGGGAAGTGGGCGAAGACGTTTCACTTGAACGCTGAGCCGTGGGGTGGCTCTTTGCTGGGGGCTGTAGTGGTTGCTCGGGATCTTACGCGGTGAGTGGACGGGAAAGTGGTATATTCTTTCATTTGTTCTTAGGGTGAGGAACGGCGGTGCCTATAGGAGCCTCACTTAATGCAGTGAGGCGTGCGCCGGAACCTTTTCAGGGTTGCTGTAACTTTTTATACCTTTAAAGTTTTAAGAGGAAGTGAGGAATTAAAAGTCATGGAAGGAATACTGAACTAAAAAGCCTGAGGTTTTTGTGTGGGAAAGCGTCGTGGCTTGCAGCTGTTGTGAGGACTTTGAGGCAGGAGGCACTTCACACCATGAGTGGCCATTTTGTGGTGAAGCTGCCACACGGGGCTGTGCGCCGTCGTAGGGCTCCTTCCGCTCTGTACAGAGACTGACCGGGCGGTCTTCCACCTACCGTGGCGGGCCGGGGCTAGGCAGGCGCAGCGGCTGGGAGCCGGTCTGTCTGTCCCAAGCTTCCCGTTAGGGTCAGGCTGCAACCCGTGCCGCGGGCGTCGGGGGCTTTCAAACACCATCCTTTGTTCCCATAGGGGCACCTCCCCTCTTCCCCACATTTCTGGAGCGTGAAACCCCCTTCTGTGAGCCTCGTTAGGGAATTGTGGGCAGGCGAGGTGCGAAGCCCGCAGGACGTGAGACCGCTAATGTCTGCTCGGCGGAACGAGCGGAGCGAGCGGTAGCCTCGCCGGCTCCGAACGCGCTTGCTTGAGTTTCCGTGAGCTTCCCCGGTGGTGTTTTTTCTGGTTTTGGTGGGTTTTTTTACCTGGCTTCGTGCAGCGCGGACTCCGTGTGGTGAGGGAGAGCTACTGCCTGAACCCCCACGTTGCTGTTTCATCCTCGGGATTTTATAAAAAGAAAATGGAATTTGCGATTGTAACGTAGGCTCTTCGATAGCACCATAAAAGCAGGGTATTAAACGCCTCTTTTAAGCCTCACAGGTCGTAGGTACTGGCGCCAGTTGCAGTACTTGACTGATGGCTCCACCTGCTGCCCGGTGGGCAGGAGTTCTCCTTGTCGCGGGAGCCATGTTCTGTGCGGAGTGTGCTGTCATGGTAACTGTGCTGCTCGCAGGGAGGCTGCACAGCGGGACGTACTTAGGCGGGAAAACAAAACAACAAAATGTACTAATACTTGTTTTTTAACGGGGGGGGGGAGGGGGGGAAGACGGGGAGAAGCCTACGAAATCGAGGGCTTGTGAGGCTAAAAGTGAAGGTTTTAATCTCCTAGATGTGCGTGAGGCTGTGATGTTTGTAACCCACTTCGGTAACAGCCTGGCGCAAAGGATAGCCCTTTTCCACCCAGTTTTGTTAATGTACAGAAGTCTTAACTAGCCTCATAGCAACCTCAATGAAGAAGTTAATTCAGTTTCCTGGCATCAAGTTAATGCTTGCTGGGGTAACGGCAAAGGGCAAACCGATTAAATTTACCTTTATGAGAGAAAAGTGGGGAACACCCCCTTCTCTTCCCTCCCTGTTAACTTCAGAAAGCTGGAAAACTTAAGCCCTATGTTTCCTGGCATCTAGAAATGTGATTTGAAATATACCTCATGAGGTGGGTAAGGCAAATCAACCCCATTTAGTGTATTTTTGAAGGGTTGGGTCATTTCAGCTGGTGGTGTAATTTCAAAGTAGGAAATTCATCAACTGAAGGATTTTTCCAGATTTTGAAAACTTAAGTGGCTGAGGCTTTGGATGGTGGCTCAGCAGCAGGGCGAGTTCTTTGCCCACGTTGCAAATAAAGTACAATCATTTATGTGGTGCTATGTAGTAAAATAACTACATGTTGTGCTGTTAAAATAACTTGTGTTTAGATGGGACAGTACTTTTACCAATCCAAAGTTTTGCACTGTAGTACTGAAGACTTGAAAAGTAACTTTGAAAGGAGATTGTTTCCTTTTGTTGTACAGTGAGACACCACTGCATTTTTCAGTAACTTCTTTTGGAGTTCTAAGGCACACACATTAACACATCTTAAAACATACTATATTGACGAATTTTCCAGAATGCCTAAGTAGTCTGTTTTAGGTATATAATGTGTAAAAGCATTAAATAAGTGTATTTTCATCGAAAACTGTTCTACATGCCTCGTATGGGAAATGCTGTGCTTCCAAGATCACCCATGACTTATGTATCAGCAGTATCTGTATGCTTACCGACTTTGGTGGTTCTGGCACTTGCCGGGTGCTTATGCTGGGAGCTGTTTCCTGTTCTAGGCTGGAGAGAATTCACAGAAAAGCGAATGCTTCTCTGTTAGTCTGGTTCACTGAAAAAAATGCCGAAAGAGAGAAGTAGGAGCTAGCAGTTAGGTCAGTTTAAGATTGCTGAGGAGTTGAGTCTCAGGTTTCAGTTCAGGCGCCCTTTAGGTAGAGGGTGCAGCCAAAGAAGTGGTCTCCTCACTTCTTGCTTCATTTTTGCTCTTTTGTTCTTATGCTAGTTTGGTGTTTATATAACTACAGAATATGCTTGGGTCAGAAGTGGGTATGTCTGAAAAGTATTACAAGATGTTTCTCCTGTGCAATGTAGAAGTGATATAAAGACCTTTTGAACAACAGGAGAGAAGGGGGAGAACTACCCTTTTTCTAGTTACAGCAATAATGTTCTATTTATACAGTCTATTACTGTGGAAGAGTGGAGGTTGGGGTCTCCAAGTTCACTGCAAGGTAGAGGGAGTTCTTGGAGGGTAAAGGGGAGAGTGTTGAATTTTTTGTTGAGAATTTGCAGTAAGGAAGCATAGTCAATGAATAAATTGAGTGTAGGCCACAATATCTGTTGTGATGGAAGCAGATTTTAAGGTATAGCTTTATGAAATAGCTTTGAACTGAATTGATGGCTTGGTGCTTCTCAGAAGAGGCTGTGCCTCCTCCATCTCCATTTACTCTTCTACATCCATTGATCTGGTGCTTGTGATAGCCTAGTAAGCTGATTCAATTCTCTACAACAGTAGAATATTAAAAGGGTGAAAAACTATACACTGTGTCAATCTTCCTGCCAATTTTTGTTAAGCCAGCTTAATTTGAACTGTCAGGTGTTAGAAGTTGAACAGAGGAGATGCAGGAAAAGTGGTGGGCAAACCCTCTCTGGTTTCTATTACTGGTGTGTTGTTAATTTGGTTCAGTCACTCTGAAATCACTTTTGGAGGGCTGAGTTCTAGTTTTGGGTTTGTTCAGTTGCTGGGCAAATAATTTGGTTCTTGTAAATTTTCTCATTCCCTTACTCTGGATGTCTAGTTTGAATGAGTACTTGTCACTCAGCTGCATTTAAATGTGCATTAAACATAAAATTCTTGCATAGGAAATTTGGATGCTACTTATTGCAAATTCCTAGGCTTCAAAATACAAGGTAACTTTGGCTAAATCAAAGTTTACAGTATCTGAAGTAGTGATAGGTTGCTGAATTGTAAGGAAAAGCTCATTAATGTAGAAGGATGAGTAATACTGAACTGGTCAGTTTTTTATGTGCTTGCCAGTCAAAGCATGGCACATAGCTAGAACCATTCATTCAGAATTGTATAAGATGAGGGGTTTGAGTTTGTAGTGCCTGTGGTGCTTATGTTGTGTTTTAATTCTTGTAAATACCTTTGTGTAAAACACGTCAAACCTCATGCAGTGTATGGAACACATCTAGCATAAGTAGTTCATCTGAACAAAATACTGAATTTACTGTTTGTTTAGTAAGTATTTTATCTTCTCTGCACTGAGTGAATCCATAACTCATAGGTCGTCACAAAATACTTTAGGACCAAAAGGGTGTATCTGAAGTCTGGGTGTGCAAAGGGTGTTGTGACTGTAGTTTTTCTAGCGTAATGTTCTTTGAAGTTTTTCTTTACATGCGCTGCATGTAAAAGATCCTGCTTTGGTGCAGACTACTTGGAAACAGTTTGTAGTCAGTCATATTCCTACTGCAGTTAAACGGCCTGTTTTGGGGTTTGTGCGTTGTCCTCGTGTGTCACCCCTCCCCCCCCCTCCCCCGAGGAAATGAATAGTGTGAATATCCCTTCAAGGTCTGATTGCACTTCTTACAGCTAACTTGTAGTTTAACCCTCTTACCTGTGTTCTAAGGCTGTTTGTAAGCTTAAGTATATCTTAAGGATTTAAAGCTTTTGACCAGGAAGATGATGAAATTTATTCTGTTGAATAGTTAATTTGCACAGTATGTTGTATCTTTAAGAATTTAATTCCTTGCTTACATCTGAAAGGAATTTTATAAAGTTCTGAAATTATTTTAACATTCTCACTGTGTCTGGTAGTAGCAACACTGATCATGAAGCTTTATGTAGTCAGACAGGGCTACTTAAGGTAGCCTAACTGAGGTCTAGATTGAAACTTTTAAAGCTCCTTAGAATAATTACTTAAGCTTTTTGCAGTGAATAGTTCATTTGCAGCAAGTACTTCCAAGTAATTCCAAGGAATTGGAAAGGTGCTGTTGAAATCCTTTGTCCCATGCTATATCTATAGGAAGATGCAGGCATGCTAGTATCTTAAAGTGTACTATAATTATTTGACTGAAATACATATTTCTGTTTAAATTTTTCAGTCTGCAAACATGGAGGCCCAGTGTGGAGGTGCCTCAGAGAACAACACCCGTTTGTCAACAACCAGTCAAGGATATGTTTTGCCAGAAGGAAAGATCATGCCAAACACAGTATTTGTTGGTGGAATTGATACAAGGGTATTTACTTTTATTTGTTTAAGATTTAAGGTACAGGGAACTTAAATGAGGTGGGGATTAAGGTACTGCAGCATCATGAAAGAACTTTGGAGCAGTTGGGTAACTTCATTTCTTCAAGTAGTAGAAGAAGGGTTTAAAAATTTGTACTGGCTATGTTAAATCAGTTCTGAGCAGTTGAATGTATTTGAAGATGTTGAAGATTCTGTTTCTTTTAGACGAATGAAGCAGAAATTCGGAGTTTCTTTGAACGATATGGTGCTGTGAAAGAGGTGAAAATAATCACTGACAGAACTGGTGTTTCCAAAGGGTGAGTAGAATATGAGTAGTTGTTTTAAGTTGCTGCCTATGTGGATCTAATTCTGCCATAGATGATATGAGCAACTACTCAGCAACACATTTGACAGGCTTAAGCCTTAACACTAGCTTCAGTTTCCTGTTGTGGTGAATTAACACTGAAACGTGTAAATCTCGAGCTCATAAATCTGTGTAATTTTACAAAGAACAGCCTGATTTTTCTGATTTCAGTCTGCTTAGGGAAAAGTGTCATTCTCACTTAACCAGTGGAAACAAAGCTGAAAACTTTGTGATGCTTATGCAAGCAGTTCCTTTGTAGAATTTTTCTGATGGCTAGAGTACTTAGCAACAATCTAGAGAGAGTTCAGGATGGTTAAGAGGGAGGGATAGATGGCTTATTCAGGGCAGTGGCACTGCACTCTTCTGACACTTTGGAATAAGTTGGAGAAAACAACCAAACCCGGTTGGGTGAAGAGTGAAACTTAAGTGAACAGTTAAAGCATGCAAAATTCCCATTGAATATATATATGAATATATGTGTTAAAAAAAAAAAAAAAGAGAAATTCTGATCTGTCTGTGGTGAAACACTGTGTGCAGGGCCATACCTGTTGTGTTCTGGGGAAGCTTTCCCAGCTTTGAAGTTATTTCTGCTTTGAGAAGGAGAGTTCAACCCCTGCAAGTTCCAGCCCTATTTTTTTTCCTTATGATTCTGTGAGCAGACCCTAAGAAGTCACTTTTTTTTTTTTTGTCCTTTGGCATACGTGGTAATGCACAAGCTGTAAATTATTTCCTTGTGCCCTTTGCTAGTCTTAATTCTGATATGCAGTTAGCCATTGTGTGTTCTGAATACTGATAATGCATTGTCATACTCCATTAACTGACACAACTGTTCCTATAATGTTCTGAAATTACCTTCATTTTTTAGACCAGATAAACTAGGGGGCCAGTGAAATAAGTTGAAAAATCCAACCAAGCATCATGTCCCCTACTGATGTCACTGTTCTGGAACATTTACTTTCATCCAGATCTCTTTAGTAAATATAAAACTTGATAATTCAGATCTTAAAGGGTTTTTTACGTTGACTTAGTAGTATCAACTGTAGTGCTCATTTTGAGTAGCTGGAATGGAAGAGCAGCCCTTGTTTCTATTTCATACTATTCTAGAATCTGGCAATCGGTTCTTTTCATCTGGCTCAGTAGTATATGCTGCTAGTTAGCAGTAAATAGATATTTATGCTGAATTATAGAATTGTCCTACTGGATACTTTTGGCATGCAGTATGATGCACCTGGCATATATGCTGTTAACAGTTCTTGTTCAAAATAATTTGGCTAACAAACAAATCCAGATCTGATTACTGAATAGCCTGTCTTTTCTTTTCAGGTATGGATTTGTATCTTTCCTGGACAACGTTGATGTTCAGAAAATAGTGGAAGTAAGCTCTTCGTCTAAATTATCTGAAGGAGCTGATACATGAAGGCTAGAGACATGTTCAGGGGAAACCAAGTTAATGTACCCTGTAGGGTCAAGTAGGATGAGGGAAGCTTAGGGCCACCTGAAATGTAAACTTGCTAAAATCTCTACTGGTGGTAGAATCTTTCTATGTTTACGTAAGTAAGAAACCAGATTAGTTTTAGCATTAGTGTGCTTGAATGTCTCATGTAATTGTATTTCTAGTAATTCTCATTCATTTATGTGCTTGAAAGCTTCACGTATGTGATTGAGCTGCTTACTTTCTCATTGTATCATTGTCATAGAACCCATGTGCTTATGGTAGATACATAGACCTATCAGCAGTATTATTGGGAATTCAGGTAACAGAAAGATAGCATTAGTGTGTTTTACTTACATCTCAGCAGTTGAAGTGTGTGTTTCTCTTGAATTATTTGTGCATTTGGATCCTACCTGATGTGCAAGTGTGTGTTAAGCTTCCTTGACTACAAGACGTAACTGTTCATGTTTCATACAGTTTTCCTGTAGCTCGCACAGGAGATACGGGGTAGAACTGTTGCAGCCCTTCTGGTCTTAAGAGTTCACTATCAGAAATTTTAAACCTTGGTGCTTATGATCAAATTTACTATTCAGTCCTGGTAGCTTTCGGCAGGTTACAAAACACACTGAAAGCTTACGGTTTTCATTGTTGCTGCACTTAGTTTTAGGAGAAAGGGGGGAAACATGTATCTTTCTGTTTCTGAACTCTGCATCAGAAACTCCCAGGTCTTTAGAGGATAAACAGTCTCTTGTTAGCTGAAGCTCTCAGATAGTGAAGTAGATCTGAAAGACAAATCCAGGCACAAATTTAGTGTTTTATGGTACGTTCAGGTGGATTTACCTGCTGTCTAGCTCCTTAAGGGGGAAGAGAGCATATTTGAAGTGGAAAGCAGTGAAGCTCCAGCAGGAGATTTTTGATTCTCACCAAAACACTTAAAAGCTTCCTATTCCTTAACTCTCATGGGATGCTGACAGAAATGCTGCTGTAATGAGCTACAGACTTGCTTGAGAATCCTTTTAACTCTACTAGATCAGTTTGGAATGCCTGCTCTGGGGCAACAATAGAAGCCTCTCAAGTAGCGTTGTCACTTGAGCCATGTACATTGCTGATTTTCTGTGTACATTTCTTCAAAGCTGAAAGCCTAAGTGTAAGACCAAGAGGTATATGGCAAATTTGCTTTGCAGCACAAATTTTGGGTGTACAGGCAGTACACATCAGTTCTCGGGAAGAAGCATGTCCAGATAGAACTGATCTTACAAAGATGTTGATTTTTTGAGAGGATGGAAAAAGGAAAAGAATGAACATCTGCATTTTAGAACTTGAGTCACGTGCAGTGAGGTGATCTCTGCTTCATTTCAGGCATTACCTGTACTGAGTGGTCCCAATGCTCTATGTAGCTGAACAAGGTAGAGCTGAAGGGTTAAAACCACTCTAGGTGCCTGTGTTGATTTGCCTAGCTTTGTGCAACCTGAAAGTATTTTTCTTCTGATTTGGGTCTGATTCAGTTTGTAGTATCACTCAAGTGTAGGGTTTCAAGGGAACCTGGGCTGTAGTTATTCTACATTAGTATCATCACTGAGGCAAGAATTGTCAAATCTGTGTTACAAAACCAGAAGGCTGACAGTCACTAATAGGCAGTTGCAAACTAGTGGATGTTGCTATAAAAGCAAGTGATACATAATAGGTTTGGAGAGTTGGTGCTTAGAACAGTTTGCTGAGAGCATTACAGGAAATTAAAGATAAAGGGCATAAGTTCTTGAAGAGAATGGAGGCTGTTGAGTTTGTATACCAGTTGGTGATACTGCGGTGTAGAAGCTGACTACGGTCTCTTAAAATCAAGAAACAACTTGCCTCACTGATTTCCCCAGCTTACAAAATAACCTGTCTTTCAGTTGCAAATTAACTTCCACGGCAAAAAGCTGAAACTGGGGCCAGCGATTAGGAAGCAGCAAAACTTATGTAAGTATGCATGCACAAATTTGTTGATATGACATGCATATATTACAGTTTCTCTTAATTCTACATTAACACCCTTGGCATTTCCTTTTTATCTGACCAATTCTGAATTTTTTGACCTTGCTACTTGTGTGATGGACAGTTTTGATAATAAATTCAGGTTGCTAGCAGTACACAATATAGTTAATACTGTGTTAAATTTAATAGTCAAAACACTTGGGTTTTTTGCAATCTGAGTTCAGATTAGTAATGAAATACATGTTAAGATGTTCTAATACTTTTCCTTTGCTTTAAAAAAAGGTTCTTATGTGGATCCGAGACCATTAGTCTTTAATCCTCCTGTACCACAGTTCCATAGTGTATGGGGAAATCAAAATACAGAGACATACATGCAGCCTCCAGCTGTAATGAGCCCAGTAACCCAGTATGTTCAGGTAAGGCTGTTCATGACACTGATTATTGAATCATAATTGTTTTTGAAGGTGAAAGCACGTACAACTTCAGGAATATGTATCAAGACTCCAATCTCGTCTTCCCTCTTGCTTTCTTATTACCTTCCCCAATAAGCAGTGCCCAAAGCTGTTTTAAGAGAATGCCAGTAACCTTGAAAAACTTAGCCAGCGATGTCATCTCTTTAGAAACCGAAAGGTGGAGATACTTTCTATTTTGAGAATGTGAAAGATGTTGAAGGTGAAGCAAATTTTAATTATATAATGTTTAATTATATAATATGTAGCACTTTATGTAACTTAACAATATAAATGGCTACTCGTCACAGATGCACTTCACAAAGCAAATGCATCTGGACATTTAACATACTGCTGTCCTGGCTCAGATTAAACCACAGAACTTAAAAGATGTTTTTTTTTTCTTTTTTTTTAAAACAAGTATGGAACTTGAAGCTGCTTGTAGTACTTTGTTTCCTCCTATCTGAACAAATTCATATTTCTGAACTGCTCTTGTGTTTAAGAACAGTTGTGGCATCTGCTCTTAACAGCTGTGACCAGTACAGCATGTCTACAGGATGTCACTTTATTGGTGTTTCAGATACGCGTTCTTACTGAGGTATAGGCGGAGTACTTCTAGTCCTGTTATGAGCCCTGTACTGCAAAGAGAAGGCTTTACAGATTAAGATTATGGCATCTTCCTATATTAACACTGTATCATATGGCAATACAACAGGGCAGTATTAACTGGAAGCTGATTCCATTTTGTATATTTTCATTAAATAAATGAAATGAGCAAACAGAAATGACTTGCAGAAATATTTTTTTTCCAAGGCAGAGATCTTGATAGTACTCTTGCTGGTTCTTCCCAAGTTTAGTGGGAGAGTGAAATAGTGAAGGAGGAACTAACTGTCTTAAACACTGGAATATGCCTTTAACTGTTCTCTGAAGAAGCTCAGAAGGTTCCAGATTAACATTGTGTCAAAATACTTGTGGTGAAAAAATGCTGGCAAATAATCTGAATTGTAATACTTGGCTTGCTTTGGCTTCAAGAAACTGATCTTCAGGCTGTAGTCCATTATTTCATGGTAGTTGGGCCAGGATGAGTTGTACTTTTGAAATGACTTAAAAGATCTGCTACAACCAGATGTGGGATTTTTAGATACATATTTAGAATCTCACATCCTAGAGTTTTTTAGTGCCTGAAGTGCTGAAGCCCCACTGGAAATCTCTAAGAGTGCTTTGAAGTAGTGAAGCTAGTGTGAAATGGGGATTGAAACAACAATGTGACTAAATCTAAAAATGTGGTTCTGACTCCTGTCTTGCTTCAAACTTGGTTTTTTAAAAAACCCTGAACTTTATTTGCAGACATACCCATACTGCTCACCAGCTGTATTGATACAGCAGCAAGTTCCTGTAGCTTATCAGCCAGCCTACAACTACCAGGTATGTAACTCTTCAGTAGTAGCAGAAAGGCTCTTGATATCTGGCAAAGCTTGAATGGAATGAAGTGTTAACTGCAGTCTGACCTCTCTGTGTTTCTCTTTCTGGGAATTCTTTTTCCTTTCAGCTCCTGCTTCACAAACCAAAAGTAAAAACAGGTGGTGATATTTTTGTTCTAATGCAGTGAAAACTGCTGAATAACTTAGCATGCTCTTCAGTTTGATACTTTTTTTTTTTCTCTTAAATACTCAATGATAAATCAGCTTCCAAATCAGCAAAAAGTACAGGGATCAGTAATGCTTTTTCTCATGGGAAGGTGCTTTGCATACTATAGTGCAGCTAGTTGATGTTACATAAAACAGAAACACTAAGTCTTACCATATAAAAATGTGGGATGTATTTAGAGGGGATGTGCTTTTGAGCTCTAAAGTCTTGGAAGGCACTTCACTGACAATGATTTTTGAACTTCTAAGTGAAATGTGTTTCTAACTCCTCTTACTGAAGCTAAATCAGAAACAGGTTAGTAACTGGAATTAACTAGAGGTTTGAGATATTTTCAGTGTGGCTGCTGTGATTTCACCTATTTTTTCTAAAGTTCAGAAATCTTATTTTTAAGAAAACCGAAACACCTTGGAATCAGAAGAGGAAGGAGATAGTTGAATCTTTGGTAAGGGTGACACTTATGTTAAGCGCTGTGTGAGGTGCATGTGAAAAAGCTATCTTGCTGGATAGAAGGCTGTAAACTACTGTTCAGTGAAAAATCCAGGCATGAATTGTTATAAATGGTGCTCTTAAAGAGCAGCTACTTGCTTGTGTTGGAACCAAATGAATAAACGCTGGGTTTTGTCCAATTTTTGTTTAAGGTTCAACCACAGTGGCTTGCTGGGGAGCAAAGAAACTATGTTATGCCTCCGGTAAGTCTACAGTGTTAAACTTTTGGAACTTTTGTCTTCTCAATTTTAGTGCGCTGGTTTGACAAGTTGATACTTTAACAATAAAAATAACTGTTGTTGGCTGGAGCTGTATGTAATCTGGTCTATACAAATCTGTAGCTGCTGACAGAGTAGGTAGTTGTTTAGGGCTTCCTACTTACATGGTGCTCTTTTAGGAGCTGCTTGGCAGAACAGAACTACCTGTTTTATGGTGTTGCTCCATATGTTCTGGTCACATAATTCTGGAATTTCAACATGAACAGAACATGAAAGGTTGAAGGAAAAATAACTGGTGACCCAATGCACAAGTCTGACTTAAAGATCTGTATAATATTACTGCTTACTGTTTCAGATTTTCTTTTTTAAGCCTCAAAATACTCTGCTTTGCAAATACTGGTAATTTTTGGCTCTTTTCAACAGCTTTTAAAATTACTTCCCATGCTGTTGCAGGCTGTAAATAGTGCTGATAGCTTCTAAAAATTACTTGCTTTGTGTGACTCTACACACATTCACAAGAGGAAAAAATACTGTGTTTCTTTAGAAGTGTTGGAGCTTAAACTTGCATCTTGGAGTGTTCTGTGTATAATCCTATATTGAGTACAGTTTCTATTAAGTGTTTAAAAGCTGTAATACTTAATTTTCTTCTGAACAGTATTCTTTCAAGCTAACTCCAAGCAGATGTCTGTAGAATGTGTAAGGTAAATGGGGGGAAAAATGAAGAAAAATAAAACTTTGTGCATCTGTATTGCTGCCTGCATGCATTTGGCAATTCTGTCTCTGATCATATTAGGAGAATATTCCTGATGATTGTCAATCATGTCTACTAATACTTGCTTTCAGCTTCTCAGCAGAAATGTGGCCTTTTTCTTTTCATGGAAAGTCTCTTACTAGTGAGACCTACCTTTGCTTTAGTGGGAGCAGAAACACTCAAAAGGGTTCAGAAGTCATTGAAATACTGATTAACCTGTTGGCTTGAAATAATTTGTGTTGAATGACATCTATGGATATGATACAGCAGCAGTACAACACAATTAGATAATAGCAACCTGAAGAGTATTTAGAGTGGGTGTGCATGATGGTTTTCATTGAATGTTTTAAGCTTTATTAGATGAGCAGACAACTGCTTTAGAACTGTTAAGCATCTTTTAAGTACCATTCTTCATGCAGACTCAAGAGGGCAGGCCTATAATGAGACGGGAAACTTCGTCTCTTGGTCTGCTGCTTTATACATACCTATTCAGTGGCTATTCAGTTTCCATTTGTAAGTGGAATGCCCCAGTTGTGATAAGGTCAGATACGATGCCTCTTCTGATGAAAGTCAGGAGTGGTGCCCAGAAAGGAATAGTCTGTTAATACCGTTATCTCCCATTATCATCAGTTTGAGATTACAGTTTTGGTGTTGAAGTGCTTTTGGGAATGTCAGGTGGTACACCTGGTGTTTGCTTTATATGATTACAAATAACATCAAGAATGATGTTACAAGAAACTGGAAACTATTGTCATGTGTGGGTGAATCTGGTTACTTGGGGATGGAGGTGGGGAGTTTGCCTCCTGGAAACCAAAGATGCTTAACCCTGCCATTGAGTACCAAGTGAAATTAGCTGTAAAAGCTTCCAGTCCTCTTTGGAAGCATCTGGAAGGATATTTTCATAAGAATAGATGCTTTATCAACCTCTTGGTTATTGTGATTTAACTCTGCAGTTGGCTGCCGATTGTAACACTGCCCTGTTGGCAGAGGGAGGCAGGGAATTTCTAAAAGAAAACATAAAATGACTTGTGCTTTTCTAGGTCTTTTTACTTTTTTTTTTTTTTTAAACTATATTGGCATGGAGGAAGCTTCAAACAAGAAAGGATCTGTATAGAGCAAAGGAGCTTCTTGGAAGGGCAGTGGTAGATGATGTTTTGCTTCCCCTTTCGTTTGATTTTAGTACTTTAATCTCTTGGAGTTACTGCTGCTTGTCTCATTCTTGGTGAGCACCTTCATTACTCAATTATGCTTGACAAAAAAACCTTATACATGGAAGAAGTAGGTTGAGGAACTAACTGTTGAGTGGTTACAGTGGAGACAGCTATTAGAATACGTCCTTTTTGGAAGGAAGTAGAATTTTCTTAAAGCAACATAATTTCCCCCACTTGCCTTGACACTTCTGATAGTTTCACAAGGTTGGCATAGCTTATGGGTGAGGACCAGTGACAACACAGCTGTGCATGTTTTCCCAGTGTTACTGAAACACTGCAATATTTAAACTGTACAGGTTTATACTTCAGTAAGCTACCACTGCACTGAGGATCCAGAATTTATACAGACAGAATATGCTGTTCCAGAGCCCACACAGTCGTCTGCTAATAGTCCACAAAGGGTAAGTGCTTTCTCGAAACTTCAGTGTTTTGCCATAAATCCTGTTCCCAGAAATTTGCATGTGAGCATTGTGTGGGTTGGTGAAGAGGGGCTCTGACCTGTATCCTAGAAATTAAGGTTATAGTTGTTGCTTTAGCCATTTGCTCCATCTACTATATCTGATTTCTGAGTACAACTTCAGAAGCCTCAGATTCCTTGAAACTACTACTGCTTGCCTGTAGTGCTGAAGTCTCTATGAAATGTGTGCTTGACTTCATTAAGTACAATAATATTTTTAAGTGATTATGCTTAATTTGCTGAGAATTACAGGGGAATTGCAGGTACTAAAATGCAGATTAGGTAGCACTGCCTGCTATATTATGCAGATTTATTTTAAGCTTGAAATACCTGAATTGGTAACATTTTTGGTAACACTCTTCACTTTTTGGGGAAGGTAAGCCCAGTTTGGCTGACAGTTGGCTCTGAATTGTAAAGGAGATCTCATTTTTCAGCTGTTTGTCTACTCCACAACTAAACTGGCATGTCATTGGTTCGAAATGTTGCCTTGTAAAATCTAAGGGTGATAATGAAGTTACCAGGATTAAAGCAGATAAGTAAGAGCTCAGCAAATCTAAGGCAATTGAGGAATCCTTAATTAAAAGTCAACTCTGTGACAGACACATGTTGCTACTGTTGGGCTAAGAAAGTCAGTATGGTTGTAGATATACCTGTAACTGTATTTCAGAAGTCTGTGGACAGGAGCATACAAACAGTAGTATCCTGTTTGTTTAATCCTGAGAACCGTCTGAGGAATACTGTTGTATCTCAAGAAGACTACCCTAAGGTATGTAGCGCAAGCAAAATTAAATCCCTAAAACACAGATGACCTTCAACTTGTTCACCTACAATACACCATAAAGGTGAAGGGATGTATATCTAGGATGTTGTTTGGATTTTTTTTTTGTATGTGTTCTGTGATGTGTGGGTTTGGCTCTCACCTACTTAATGTTGGAGATGAATGCTGAAGTTGGATTTGGTGGATTTAATGAAGACTACATAAAATGCTGAACAGGCAACCCATGGATACTTAAGAGTATAAGGCTGGGTAATCATTTCTCAGTGACAAATTGCTGAAGGGGCAGTGGGTTTTTCCCTAGTTTAGTTAGATGATGTTGAGTTTGAGCCTTGATAGTCTGTACACCAGTTAAGTATTCACTGTGTTGTAGCCCTCCTTACAAAGTATAATGTCTATGCTGTAACCAATAAACTGTACTCCAGGTTGGTAGCTGGTCATCACATTCTTGCTATGTGTTCAGTCTTTGTAGAATTGCAGCTTCTGATTATATTCCTGCTGGTATTCCTGTTTAAGACTTTGCATCCTTTTTTTTTAAAGGAGGGACAGGTAAACTAGGCACATGTACCCTGAAACAATACAGAAGCCAATTATTTGCTAGTTTTAGAGGGAGTGGTGGTGAATAGAGTACAGAAGGTATTCAGATACTTCTGAAACTTCAGTTGCTTTATTGTGGTTATTACCTAGAAATTTTTTCCTGTCTTCTGTCCTATTCCAGGAGAGGAAGGCACATCACTTCAGAAAAGGAAGAGCAATACTCAAAAGTATTTGATCAATGAAGGCAGAATGTGAAAGTATTTGATCAACAAAAGCTTCAAAGTGTCTAAATTCATTGACTTGATGTTACTACAGTTCAGTTTAGCAATGCAGGATGATGTTTTTTCAGAAGGTTGCTTCAAGTTGAAGTTTGTTTTCTGTTCTGCCTGTTTCAATACAGTTGGCTTTACTTGAGTAGTTTGAAGTTTAAAGTTGTAAGAGTTGACAAACTTGCATGTTTTATTAATTGTTTGCATGCTTCCCCTTATACCTAACTGGCACGTTAAAGAGTTCATATTGAAAAAACACTTGGTTTGTTTGCATGTGGATTTTCTTTTGAGTTCTAAGATACAGTTTGCATGTTACACCTATTTTTTGTTAAACCAGTTTTAAGTGACTAATCCTGACGGGTTATCTCTTGCAGTTAAAAATGGAAGTAGTTATTTGCCCAAGAGGTTGTATTTTAAAACTGAGCTCTTAACCAGTGAAGTGGAAGACGTCAAGTTGTAACTCAGCTGAAGCCCTTAAAGTCCTGGTTGTCTTAGACTACCTAATCAATGTGGTTATGTTCATTAATGACAGTTTATGTACCTGCAGTCTTGACCATCAATACTAGCTTTGGGAGAGTAATTAGGAGAATCCTTAAAATTCCTATCTCTAACTTAAGATGCAAGTATGTAATTAGCTCTATTGGCTACTCAGTAGAGTATGCTTTTTTACTTGACAAATTTTAGCAATACCTGCATGTTAAAATTGTGAGAAAATGCTGCCTTTAAAATATGCCTTTATGTGATGCAAACTGTTAATCAAAGAATATCTGTAAGACTTTTAATAATAATGTAGATTTTAGTTGTGTATTTTGAAACAATTAAAATAAATTTTTATTTTGACTTCGCTTCTGAAACTTCTGGTGATGTGCTGATACAATGCTAGAGCCAATTTTAAGCTACCTTAAGAAAGACATGTAGTATAATAAAGATTTGTTGAAGCTATTGGAGATCTGTTACCCTATATGAGAACTGGAGTTACTACACATTCATAGTAACAAACTTCATTTTGTATAGTTTATAGCTGCAGTTTTGAAAGAGTAGAACTGAGAAATGTATTTAGTCTGTATGTTGGGCCCTAGCCTGCTTTTTTCTTCCTACTCCAGCACCTCAGTCTCCCTAAAAGGGAGACTAAGAAGGGAATTAGAATTAAGCCTCTCTGGTTGAGGATGTATGCATGAGTTTGAACAGGACTGCATGTTCAGCTTCAAATTTCTGGAAGTAGTAATGGCTAGGAAAAGACTTCCCCACAAGTAGATGCTAGTGATGCACATGAGGGAACATTGCTACAGACCTGGACATGTGAGGGAATATGGCTGCAGCTTGAAAAATGTCCGAGAACTGCTTTTCAGGAGTGTCCTGGATGGATGGAATTTCCTTAATGAAGAAAGGGGTGGGGGTAGAAATGATTATTTGTTTTAGAGCTGCTTTATGAAGCATTATACTAATGTTCTGATAGCATACATTGACTGGAAAAAGCAAAGCTGTTAACATTTACTCTGTTCCATGTCACTAAAGATAGCATTAAGTGTTCCATAATACCAGTTTTCCCTAGTTTTCTCAAGACTACAGTTTTAAAGATAGTAGCTTAATTATATTTAAATTCTACAGTTATGCAACTAAACTCACTATTTTTATTTTAAGAATAAATCTGGAGTTTGCTGACTATCCAGGACCTTTGCTTTGTAACTCCTAAGTACCTAAACCAGCCTACTCAGGCTGTTTAAAGCTGTGATGTCAGTTTATTGATAAAGGTAATTGTTTCTTTTTGCAAATGCACATTTCATTTTGTCTTAATGTTCTAGTTGGCTTGATTGCCCTGGGATGTGTTTGATGCTTTATGCTGTAGCTATAAGAAAACAAAGTGTCTGTATGTAGTTCATTGAAAAGCCTTAACACCCAAAGAAAGAGATAAAATGGAAGATAGCTACATAGAGTGCATATTTTATGTTTATTTGACCAAGTGTTACCTGAAGGACCATCTGGTGAGTGAGTCGATTGTTCAGTATGTTTCAAATAGTGCTGCTAGGTATGAACTGTTCTTACAAACATGCTGAGATGGCTTATCACAGTGAAATGCATAGCCCAGGCCTTAAGAGTACCATTTATTTTCTCTTCCATTAGATCATGTTGCACTGGTTTTGTTAGCCATTTCTCACCCGTAGGAAACCAATCTCTTTATTTCCATCTGGGAATTGTACATTTTGTGGTATATGCCAGTAAAAATAACAAGTTATAACTAAGAGCATGCATTTTTACTGTTATTTTGAAGTACCCTATAAGCATAACACAAAAACAGTAGGTAAATCTCTTTTGTGTTGCATTCAGAAAGTCAAAACATCTGTTTAATACTGCAGTAGCTGAAGGCATTTGTGAAATAGGCATACAGTTGGTGCTTCTTACAAATTTGCATCTCTTGTATTACTAACTTGAGTGGACCATGTTAACTGGTACGCAGTACTGAGTTCTTGTGGATCTGCCTTTGCCTGTTCAGAGTATATATGTTGTGTGGGACCCCAAATGATGCAAGTCTCCTTCCAGTAGTAAGACAGCTTTTTGTTAAACAATTATTCAGACAAGATAGAAAAATAGAGTGCTTGCATATACGTGGTATTACAGAGCTATGACACTTGTTTCTTTTATGGTTCTTACCTGAAGTGTCCCAAATCAGCTGCTTTGTGCTGTGGCCTTTCCATACTCTACAAGCTTTGCCACCTGACAGTTATTCCTGGAATGTTACATTTAGGCAGATGATGTTATTGGATCTCTATTAGAATGACTGTCTGACACAGACACTAGTTCCTTGTCAAAATGGAACTGCTTTATTTTTCCCTTTTTTTCCTTTTTTGTGTGCTAAACCAAAATACTAAATTCTGTTCTACGTGAAGGTGATCTGATCCTTAAATACTATAAAGAATCAGATTATCCCTTCCTTGCCTTTTACAGGGCTTTCTTTTGCATGCCTCAATGGAACAAATTGTTTTCCAAGTCCTGTGACCAGGTATACAGTCTGTTTTAATCACAGGAATGACTTGGTAGACTGGTATTTTAGGATCAGTGTTGTATAATTTAAAAGCTTTAATGTTTGCCGCTTTCTAAGTAGCTGAGGGAGGGAAAACAAACTAAGAAATCTAGGCTATAAAGAGTATTAGGGCTTCAGATGAATTGTACATCTCAAGAAAAAGCCTGACTAGCTCACAGTCTTGTACAACTTCATACTACATTTCTACTCTAAATTCACTAACCTTTCCTAAGAAAGAAGGCACCAGCTGAGTTTAAAAGGCCTTTGTGTTGCCCAAGTGACTTCTTGGCTTTAGCTCCTGTGACTAAATTCAGAGGGGTTTTTGTTTCTGTGTTCCCCTCCCCCCCAGTAGTGTGAACGTCGGTATATTTGGTGCTCAAGACAAATACAAAAAAGGGTGGTTCATTCTTTTAGCTTAGGATTGGGAGGCTCTAGTAAAACCTGTCCTCATTACTATACTTAGATTGAATATTACTGTAAAATAGTGTCTTGAATTGAAAATGGGCAATTGCCTTAAACCATACAGTAATTGTTTTAGGACTAGCAGCATAATTAAAACTGTAAAATCTCTCAAAACCTCTGAATACATAGCCCAGCGAAGATGCATGCTACAGTCAGTATATTTCTGGAACAGTGAAAGTGCTTGTAAGACACTATTCTACCTATAGGTCTGCAAAACTCCTGCTCTACTTGGGCTGTGTGTTTGTAAATAAGCTTTTAGCTGCTAACCTGTACCTATGAGTTCTTCTGTAACTTAGGTGTTTGAATTTTAGTATATTTCTTGAACTATCAGGGAGGTTGCTTTCCTTTCCCACTACCCCATTCAAGAGAAGTCTGGCCTTAACCTCTCTATATGCTTTCTGTCTTAAATTTAGAGGAATACGATTTTGCTGAGTTGTGTTCCACCCTTCTCCATCCCCCACCCCTCAAAAAAAAGTTGGTTCCCCCCCCCCCCCCCCGTGCTGCTTCACATGGTACACTATGAACAGGTGTTCAAGCAATTCTTAAGCTTCTTGTAAAGCTTTCCTAGAACATTTAGGGTTAGAACCACCAATTAATGGAGGTTGTTCCCTTTTTTCCCCTGGGAAAAATTTGTGCTTAGAACTGTAAAATCATAGTTTGGGTTGGAAGGGACCTTTGAAGTTTTATGTAGTACCAACCCCCCTGCAGTAAGTAGGGACATTTTCAAGTAGATCAGGTTGCCCGTCGAACCTCATCTTGTTCATTTCCAAGGATAAGGGGATCTGGGCAACCTGTGACAGTGTTTCACCATACTCACTGTATACTAATAGAAGACTGAGGCAAAGAAGATATTAATTACTGCAGTGTTTTCTTCATTCTTTGTCACTAAGTCACGACACTGTCCCGCCCCCATAAGGGGTGGAGATTCTCGTTAGCCTTCCTTTTGTTGATAATTATAGAAACACTTTTTACTTTTATAGCAATACCCAGGTTTAAGTTAGAGTTGGGCTTTGGCCATTTTAATTGTTTCCCTTTAAAGCTTTGTGACATACCCTTAAAGCATTTTCTTTCTCTTATGCACATACTAGGAAATTTCTGACAGAAATCTCTTAATTACTGGGAAAAATGTCATCATAGAACAGGACCCCGTTGCGCTGAGCAGCTGCCCTGTGATGTTCAGGTAGTCTTCAAATCTGCTACAGATGATGTTTTCCCTGTAGCCAGTAGAGGGCTCTCACATTCAGTGCTGACTAAAAAGATCACTGTAGTTACGAGACTACAAACAGCAATTGAACTGGAAACATCATTGGTAAAGATGTGTATATAGCATAAAGGCAAAACCTGACGTAAGGTTCTTTTTTAAGGTTTACTGTCTCTTACGTTAAGGCTGTTAATTACCTTTATTTTGAGCAATATGCAGAAATTCCTTGCTTATGATACTAATGCTTTAAAAAAAAAAAAGTAGGCCTTTTCCTTGTTAGATGTTTCATTAGTGCAGGTGAAAATCCTCTACAGCACTAAATTTTACTAGGATTGCTTGCTTAGTGCTCCTGATACTTTCACTGGAATAGAGATCCTTTTACATAGCTTACCAATTTGTTTGCCAAGTCTTTTCTAAGGGAAAGTGTTGCAACAGCTGATCTACATTGGTAAGACAGTTCCTGTAAATGCTGGATTTCATCTATTTCTTACGAGAAAATAAGTCTGTCTGGTCTTTCTATTTGAATGTTACAATAGGTTTCATAGAACTGAACTTGTCAGTTGTGCTTATCTTAGTGTTGCAGTGGTTATTCCCTGACTTAGGAGACAGACAGACTCAGGAATTACTTGTTTTCTTAGGTGGTCTGTGGTAGTTTCATTAATCAAAAGTGTAATTCTGTTAATGAGTTTTAAGTTCAGATTTTTCAAAGTAAGATAATTGTGGTGAAGTTTCAGAAGTGATGTTTCAGTGTTCTGTCGCCTGTTTGTAAACTGGGAGTTCTGAGCAGATGAGCTTTGTTTCCTGTGGTGTCTGGAAACTTGGTACGGTGCACAGCACTTCAGAACGCTGGGCTACTAGAAGATGAGAAACCGTGCTGTGGGACAGTGCACACCACAGTGGGATTTCTTACACTGAGAAAGTACTGAACGTGTCTACTGGGGTGAAGGAAGCCTGAATATGGAATTTCTTTTACTTGCTACGTGTAACTTGGTTGTATTTGGTCAGCTCTTAATAACAGTCTTAACACAGTTGATTCCATGCGGAGTATCTGCAAGAGGCTCCGGAATCTTGAGCTGAGGAGTTGGTGGTTTGAAATAGAAGATAGGAATTGACACATTAGCAAATCTTTGCATGTCCAGGGAAGAACATTTCCTAGGT